GCGGGCTGCGCGGCCTGAGGCTGAGGGGCTGGGAGGGCTCGGCCTGAGGAGGGAGCGGCACTTCTGGATCGTTTGGGGATCATTTCGGGTCGTGTCTTGTGCTTTGTAAACGTTACGGCCCTTAGAGTAACGAGACATTGAACTTTTTTTTTGGGTTAACGCAGCATAAATACACAATTTTGGGCTGACATGGTCTCTTCACTGTCTCTACTTTCCAGCGCCTCGTTAATACTTTGAAGATTCCTCCATCGTGAAGCCAAGAGGGATGTTTGAAATGTATAAATTTCGGCATTCTTTGGCAAAGGACCTCACTTCTAAAGTTTATGGCCTTTTTGTTTTAAAATTGTTTTTTCACGTTTTCCACAATCAATGATTTTAAAGTCATTGGCTTTGTATTCTCTTACTTAAAAAAGCACAGAAGAATGGAGAATCATATGTATTTTCCCCTGTATTTAGGAAGCGTTTAATTTGGGTTAAATCCAGCTACATAATCCCATGGGGTTTGGTTACAGGTATTATTCTTCTCATAACTCCCTTTCTAGGTTCAAGAAGACACTCGGAAGCTTAAAGTTAAAAATATCAACGTGAAAGGCAACGTAGAAGTTGTGAATATTAGTGACCTCAAAACAGCGACTGAAAGAGCTGATCTTGGGCTCAGAGTAAGTAAATTTGAGCAGATCCAGAAGACGATTCAGTTTTTGAGATTCAGTAATTCCCTTAGAGTACATGGGGCTGTGTATTTGTCACCCTGCAAGGTGCCTTCCTGATTGGAAGGATGGGATTCAGAATGATGACTTCCTTTTTGAGGTTATCAGAATTCTCTGATCTTGTGCCCATTAGCCAAAATCAGACATAGTCTGACAGAAACACAGTCTATCAACTTTTCAGTCAGAGGTCTGGATTGCTAAATTAACTGTGATTAATAAATGTAATATCCCTCATACCTTTGTAATAGTCTAAGCATTATTTTTTCCCCCTCTAACAGAAACATGCTGAAAATTATTTAAATACTGTAAACAGACAAGTGTTAACTATTTCTTCTGCTGTTAATAAAGAAGTACATTCAAAAGAACCCCCTAAATGGTAAGTGAAAGAGTTGTTTTATCACAGAGAAAAACACAGTGAACAAGACAGAAAAACTGTGGTTTCAGAATCTTGTAAAGCAAATGGGAGTATTGGCCCAAATGAGATTATTTGGATCATTTGCTATTTTGGTTTGATTTTAAGTTAAAAAAACAATACACAAGTAAATGCAGTTCTAAGTATCCACAGCAACCTTTTGCTAACTCCTGTGATATTTTTTTGCTAAACATAAATTTAAATAAAAATACAGTCTTCTGGATTCAACCAGCTGGAAGCAGTATGAGTTTAAGAGGGAAAATCAAAGTAATTTTTTTAAAACCTCACTGTTTGTTACTTTCTACATCAGGGGCCCTCATTTTGGTGCTGCTCAGAGACAGCTTGTTTTACCACGAGTACCTGTTGAGCCAGTGACTGTCCAGGCATGCAGCAAACCAGCACCACGCCTTTCTCAGAGTTCACAGGTCTGAAATAGCATACTACTACTAATTCTGCCAGAAATCATGTTAAATGAGTAGACTGCTGCCTTGTAGGTCACCAGCTGACCCCATCATGTCACATTCTCACTCCACATGGATTCAGTTTTTGATCATACATCATCTATGACTGGAAGTGTTCAAAAATCCTCAGTAGGATGAGTGAGCTGGGAGGCAGGAGCCTTCTCCCAGCCTCACAGTCCAGATTAAATTGAATTTAAGAAGGACTTCAGTATTCATCATGGGTGCATCCACAAGCCTTTGATTCAGTTTTTCCTCCCACAAATATATTATTAAAGAGTCCTGAAGCTCAAGTGTTGATTCTGCTTTAAGGCCCCAGTCCTGCAAATACCATGTAGTTAGCTGGGATTCTGCAAGTAACATCTTTTGGAAAAAAAAAGAACTAATATTGGTATAGCACGAGCACAGATATAAATGTTTGTGGTCTCTGAGACTATCAGTGGTTCTTTTTTTTTAATTCTTGCAGAAAAGATTGGCAAATTGTGGGGAAAACTTGTTCATGGGTAGATGCTTCTATGATGAATACAGGGTTTCTCCTTGAAATCTGATTATTTTTTTTCTGGTTTTATAAATGAAATTCTTGGAAAATCATTTAAAGCCTTCTTAAAATGTTTGTATCTGAGGTGGTTTTGCTATTCTTTTTTGTTCTAAGCTGTGAATTTTGACTCCTGTACTCAAGGTGGTTTCCTCAAATATATTTCAAAAACAAGAGTAATTAGCTGGGTTGAAAAATACCTGTTGCCACAATTTTGGGTTATTACTGTTGAAATCCAAGGGAGTTTTGAGTGAGAGAAAACCTTAACAAGCAGCTTTCTGTAGTTCTAAGATTGTTACCAGGAAGTAGGGATTGAAGCAACTCATAATGGTATAATCAGAATAAGCAGCCTAACATTTATATTGCTTCTCAGCTTTGTAAAAGAAATCCCAATATAAAGCAGCAGTAAAATATTTCTTACTCTTGAAATGACAGATAATGTGCAGTGAGAGCTCTGATTTCTTTTTCCAGACCCTATTCCAACCCTGTCCTCGATGAATACATTTATATTGTGAAGAGAAAAAAAATTATAATCAAAGTTCAGCTACTCTGTAAACTCTGTGATTTGTGGTCTGTCACCCTTTCATGTGCACCAATGAGCTTAATTTACTCTGGAGCACATGCTCTGTCCTGCCTTGACTTTCTCTTTGCCTTCTCATTTCTGTTAGCTATGGCATCTGCTTACAAATGAATACCTAGTGACAATCACCTTGCCCTAATTTCCCATTATCAAGAAAATGGAAAACAGTGCTGTTTTGCCAGCTGTTCTGCATGAAGAAGAAGCTTTTATTATTAAATAGTTGTGGAATCCAACTGGCAAATTATCACCTACAATTCCTTACTTCCTGTCTCCTCTGTACTTGTAGAAACAGTTTATTTTTTTTTTTTAAACCTACTTTGGTGGTGTTCAAAATTCCTTTCCACTCAAAAGAACTATTAGTGGGCCAAATAGTTTTCCATTTGCAGACAGAATTTCCAGGTACATAAACCTGAGGAATTCAACATTTCAACACGTAGAGGTTCTCAGAGAAAGAATAATTCACAGAGTAATATTTTTGTGCTTTGCAGTCCATAGTATGCTGTGCAAGGGTAGAAATGGGGCATAAGCTGTGCTTGTAGTAGTTAGGAGGAAGCAAGGTTGGAGTCAAATAAGCACAGATGCTGTTTTCACATGTGGAATGCTTGTCATATGGGAAATAGCTTGCCCACAGGTGTCAGAATAGGCTTAGAATTATTGTTTACTCACACATACAGTATTTCTGAGTCACAGTAGCAGCAGGATAAGACTCTGCAAATTTAGTTCACAGGGGGAATTGTGAAGCACATTAACCCCCTTTCCCCCCCCACTATTTATTGTAGTTGGATTTCTTCTAATAATAAACCTTGAGAGCCATAAAGAGGTGTCTTCTTCATGCAATAATTGCAAAGCTTCTGTTTAGTTGTGTACAAGTTCAATTATTTTTGTTATCCATAATTGGTAAGTGTATAAGTTGAACTTTTTAATCTTTTTTTTTTTTAGACATACTTGATTGAAAACATAGAAACAGATGTTTGTGCAGCTTTGGGTTTTGTTTAAGGTTTTATAAAATTTTTGTTTGCTTATTTTTTGGTTTCTTTTCCTAAAAGTTACTGACTTCTTGTGTGCATTCAGAATGTCACAGAAAGTAGTATTCTCTCATCATTAATAGAATGAAAGATGTAAATGGAATGATGTTTCTAGAAGGCTCTAGAATATGCAAAGAACACAAACATCTAGACATGAAAAGTGGTTTATTTACTGATTATCCAGATTGTTTCAAAGGTTAATAAAATGTAGTCCATTCACAAAGGAATTGGACTCTATTAGAAACCAGGCACCACGTGCATCTGCAAAACAGAATTACATAGTGAATCAGATTTATTGCCTTACTCCATGATAAAAATGCCTTCCCCTCTGAAATGACTTTTGTGTTGACATAGAACAAGGTTTGAACCACTTAACTGAACATATCAACCTGTTCTGTACACTCCACATTAATAATTAGTGCAATAATTTTAATTCTACCTGAGCATTATTAGCAATAAAGCACTGTTGGCCCTGCTGTTCTCGTCCTTTTCTTATTCTGCACCAAAATGGTTCAAGATAGCTTGAATTGAAGACTTTGGATAATACAGATGGATGTAGAATATAGATGGAAGAGACAATCTGCTCCAGCTCCTGCATATGTACAGTTGTCACTTGCCATACCTCTGAGCTGACAAAGCAATTTTTATCAGGATTTCTTTATTAAGCATTTCAATTCTTGTTATGCTGTGTGGAATCTGCCACTTCAGCATTGATCATTTCCCTGTCGGGCTGAGCAGGGAGTCTGCATTGTGAATCATCTCCTATTTTAATTGAGAAGGTTCTCAATTTCCCCCCAATTCTTGTTTAATAGCACAAGCAGTTTCCTTTCTGTACAGCGGTGTGCTGTAGTAATAAAATAAATACCACAAAATCACTGATGAGGTGAAAATTGAACTTTCTGTCTCTGTGCAGCCATGTGGGTAAAAGAGTAATTGGCTTGGATAATAACTTCTGTTTTTACAAACCCAAATCTAAATGAGCATCTCATTGATACATCTGCTTGTAATTACTATCAAAAGAAGATAATATATTGTGCAGATAAATAAATGAAACTATTGTTAGTGCCTTCACAAACTAATAGAATTGTTTAATAGTTCAAATAGACATCTAATGGTTCTTCAACTTTTTATGGCACATTTTGCTTGCCAAAAAATAGAATTTTCATATATTTATTTTTATGTTTGCACAACAGAAGTATCAGCAGAGAGTTCTTGGGTATAAATATGTTTAGTTGGATCTTATTATATAAGGGAGCTTTTTGTATTCCCATATCCATGCCATGGGAATTAAGCACATACCCCACCAGCCCCCCAGCTCCTCTAAATTACCTTAACTCTGTTGGTTTCTCTAGTGATACATTAATTTCTGCCATTTGAGGGTTATTCCTTATTCAGCATTGGTTGGTAAATAAACCCTGTTGAGTGCAAAGTCTAGGCAGCAATAGTATTGCAATAAAAGTATTGGGAGATAAAGATCCAAGTGTAAACTGAAGCACATGTGCTGAGCTGAGCCAAAATGTCTTCACCTTAAGAAATTTCTCCTTTAGTATAAATATATGGCATCTCTTCTGGCTTTTATAGAAAAAGTATGTGCTTTAAATACTTATTATAACAAGAAGAAACTTTAAAAGCCTTTTTACATCCCTTGGAATTTAAATAATATTACTTTTTATTAGCAAAATAGGTGAATCCATTCCATGTAGATAACACAGTACATTAAGAAACTACTATGTTTTAATTCTTATTACTATAAGGATGTTTTATTTCCTCATTTATTTCTAAGCAAGCTTTACATATAAGCACCAAGTCAATGAGCCATAACTGATCCAAAGAAGCTGTTCTGGTCCATCAGGTCAGTGATTCCTGAATTAAAGTCCCTGGCAAATGTAGACAAGGTAGATTGGGTTGTTATCATCTGTGGGAAGGATGCACATATAACACCCTCACAACAGGTAGGGTGTGTGTAAAATGTTTGTTATAACACAGGTAAAGGGAATTCACAAATGAATGATGTTTATTGAGTGAGTTAAAGCTGATTGTCCTTTGCTCTCAAAACTGAGCTCAGTGTGCAAGTTTTTCTGGAATTTCAGAGCTTGTAATGGAATCAATTGAAGAAATTCTGGCAAAAGCATGCATATGAAGAGTAGTTGTATGTCTTGTTAAGTTTTCCATCTAATCAGAAGACACTTCATTGTTCACCTAGTTCTGTGTGGGTAGTCAAATAACGTTAATTTTTATCATAATTTTTTCAAATTTATGAACATATTAGCCAGTTCCTGCTGCTAAACACTTCTGTCCCAGTGCAGTTCTTTCAAGACTATGCCTGTTATGTATTTCAGCAGCAGGTGGAAATGGATATGAAAGTGATGCTTGAGCCAGAGAACACTGATAATAAAGCTGGTTTAAAACAACAGAACTCTGAGACCAGGCTGCCACTTATAACTAGGAAAAAATCTGCTCCTGTAAGTAACTTACATTATCTTCTAGGTTTATTATATGTATTACTCCTCACTGTTAAAATTGATACATATCAGACCTAAATTTTAAGTGGAAATTTCCTAATTCTTGACATGTATATGTAACGCTCAAAACATTTTGAGTGACAGTACTGGGGAAAACAAACCTGTAGCATAACAGAGGATATTCTGAAGCAGAATCAGAATGCCAGAGTGTCTACAGAAATGTAGATGGTGTTTACATCTTATTTTTCTCACATGTTTGGGAAGGAATGTTGAGGTCATGCCCCATCCCTGGAAGTGTTCAAGGCCAGGTTAGATGAGGCCTTGTGCAGCCTGCTCTAGTGGGAGATGTCTACCCATGGCAGGGGGTTTGAACTACATGATCTTTAAAGTCCCTGCCAACCCAAACTATTCTGTGATTTCTACTTCTTACCTCCATGCTGGGAGCACTTACTTTACAGTATGAGGGACAGATTCAGACCTTTCCTTTCCATATGCAGATATTTCCATGTCTAGTAGATCCAAAGTGTCCTCGCTGTCCAGCCACAAGACGTTCTGAAGCAGAGCATTTCTTTTATCTCTAGTCAAGCTATTCCCTTAGTACAAAACAATTATCTACTAAAGCTGAGCCTAAGCACTTCCACAACACTCTCCTAAGAGCACCCTGACTAGTGGCCATCAAATTACCCTTCTCTAGTCTCCTTTCTGGCATGAGAATGTTCAAGTTGTGCAAGGTTAAGTTTCGATTCTGCCAAATTGCTGCTCCTCTCAAATAAGCAAATGAACAGGAAGATGACATGTTCTGCAGAGTGCTTTTAAAAACATTTAATATGGACAGACAACCTTCTGAAGGTCAGTGATGTTCACAAATTCAGCCCTGTGGTCCACATGAAAGAATATGGGCAGTGGTCTCAGTCAAGGGTGCTCCTCTACAGTATAATTTATGTAACAGAAGCCTTATGCAGCAAGTGCTGGAAGAGACATTCTAGGGTATTTGGGTTTAAACAACACAAACAGACTCTCTGAATGGCACAGTTGTAAGCTGCCACTTATAAAAAATGATTTTTTTTGAAAGCTGTTGCGCAGACTAAGAGGTGGTTTGTCTAACACTGTGATATAGAGTTAATTAGAAAAAAGCATCACGGCTAATAGCTTTTTAGAACCACTCTAAAACACTCGCAGAGAGGAATATTATACTACTGCAGAGAGCCATGTGTTTTACCACTCTTGCTGAAACATACACTGATCAGAGAAAAGTTCTTACTGGTGACTTAAATTGCAAACATTTAGTGTAAATTAGTCAAGCTCTCTGATACATATTTACAGTTGCTAAGGAACCGTTTATGGCAGGGAGATGAGCTGAAAATCCATCTAGGTATTTCCAACCTCTCATTTAATCAACAGCATTTACTAGAGTAAATGCTTTTTAGAGATTTTTTTGAATCCCATGACAGAATCTGTGTTTTGAAATGTTCTGTCCTTACTGGGGGAGAAATTTTGCAAATAACTTTGCCAAATCCACTACTGAGATTGTGAATTAAGGTGTTGTTAAATGTGACTTATGCTAACACTTAGAGGAATGATAGTTACAGGTCAACAATAGTCACTCAAACAAATCCATGTGTAGTTGCTGGTCTGAAATTAGATGGTCTCTAGTCTTGGAAAAAGAAAAGAAAGTAGCTACAAGAATTAAATTAGGTGCTACCTACCCTGGTTTTACTAATCAGCCATTAGAGGGCAATATTTGTACGCACGCACACGCGCGGACACCAACGTACATGCCCTAGATATGTACAGAAGTTCAAAGATTATCTCAAAAAAAAATCAGTGGCAAGAGGACTCTCATTGAAATAAATTAAAAACTAATTGCTCGGTTAACTGCATTCAGGTTTTTTTTCCAAGAGTTGTCAGCATCTGAGTTTTGAAGGAGACCTGAGCATTTAAAAATGGGATGAGATTAAAACCACGCTGGTTTTGAGGTGACTGGGTAGGTCAAGCACAAATCTACATGGACTTCTTATTATCCTGCCATTTGAGTAGTTTGAAAAATTATTAGGAGGGATCTCATTGTTTCTTGAAAAAAGTCTTTTCTTGTTCTTTTGGTATTCTAAAGTTGCTGATGCTGGGTTTTCTGACAGAAACTACGAGCAATTAACTGTTGCCCTTTTGTACCTTTTTGGGTCTGATAAGCATTAATGCCTCATCCTCTGAAGTACTGTAGATAGCTTAAAATCAGGACTGTAATTCTGTTTGAAACACGATGAGAAGTCTGGGCATCACTTTATTTGGCAGCCTATGTCTGGATAAGAAATGAAAAATAATGAGTAGTTAATTATTAATTATGTATCCTTCCTGTGGAGTGTCCAACAAAATAAATAGTAATCAGAACAGCAGCAAAAGTAATTCTGGCATTGTTCTGCAACATGGAAAAGTTTCACAACTCTGCCTTTCATTTTCCTAAGACTGCTGTTCTTTAATAGAATTATACTGGCACTTTTTGGTCCTTGTTTTCTTATAAATGTGTATCATACTGTAAACTTAGGAACCTTATAATTTATTCATGAGGCAGAATTTAATATGGTGATGATTTCTAGCCTTTATGAGTTGCATCTTATATAGCGTGGCTCTAATGGTGATGGCAGTGATTCCATGTTGTGGTGAGGGGTTTTTTTTTAAGCTAACTTATTTGAGCACAGCCATTGTAATCATATCCTTGGTTATTCATTCTTTATTCAGTATTTGCCTCACTAACGCTTAGCACTGAAAATCTTTTCCAAAATCCTGAAGTAAGGCAAAAAATGATAATTCTTTTCATTTCAAGTAACTACAAGGGGTTTTAGAAGAAAACCAGGTTTTTTTGGTCCTCCAAACCTGATTGTGTTTTAAACCTATGCATATGGCTATAATTACAGTCAAAGCATAATTTGGCAGTGGTAGCAGGATGAGACTTAAATCGATGTTACACTACAGTAATTCAAACGAAGCTTGTTGCATTTGTATTATGGTATGTAATCATCATAAGCAGCCCAGTGAATTAATAAAATCTTCTTGTCACTAAAAATAAGGAGGAAATAATTGGTGAGATGGAGTTAACTTAACAGATGACTATAGTCAGCATCCTTTCAACCTAGAAATGGGAATGTGAAGGTCACCCCCATCTCAGCTGACAAACGTAGAACGTTTTGTTGGTAAACAAATTAATCTTTTGAAAGGTCACCATTTGTTTTAAGTTTTTATCCAGTTCTTGTCATCTGGAATTGGAGATTGACTGTCATTTTTCCAGGCAGGGGTGCAGCTGAAGCTACCAGGGCTGTTTCTGTACGTCTCAGCATTCCCTGACAAAACTCAGTGCCTGATTGTGATGCTATGGGCTGCTGGTTTACAGCTGTCTCTGGACAAGAGTGGAGGCCAACCCCTGAATTCCAATAAGTTGGTCCTGCACATTCTGCCTCGTGGAAGCTGGCCCTTTGCCCACAAGTAAAATGTAGCGTGGTTCAAGCCAGCAATTATCTTTCTTACTTCCTTCTGTGCTGCTTCTGTTGCCTTTTTCACAAAGCAGATGTGGGATTCACCAGAGTTCTCTGTCTGTTCTCCCTTGCACCTGTTACGGCAGGATTTTGATAGAGGGAGATTTCTGGGTGAGCTCATGGAAGCCATAAATGGGGCAAAGCTTGATTTTTTTTCCAAGTACATGGAAAACTGGCAGATCAGAGCTACCTCTGGTTATTCTAAGAGCTTAAAGTAGGTCATAATTTCATATAAGACCTGTTGTTAGAGATGCCTAGTTGCTCCATATTCAAAGTTTCATGTTGGGCTTTCCATTTAAATCAGACATTATTTTCTTTAGATAAATAAAATCTGAGGGAAATAACATGTATTAAAAGCTTAATACTATACCCAAGGGAAACTGTATTAATTATTATGTAGATAAATGGTGGTCTATGTAAATCAGAATGAGAAGGACAAATTTTAATTTTCTATACAATTTTCCTACTTGGAAATCTTGAATAAAAAGACAACCAGACATAAAAGCTGTTCATATTTTAAATCTCTGTTACAGACTGTTACAAACTTAACTCACTGATTTTTAGAATAGTTCCACTGACAGTGGTGAGAATTTGTCCTTTGCTTAGCATCCAGTATTTCTGCACTGAATTCCATGTGCTTTTTTTTTAGATTTGGAGGACTAAAATTAGGTTATTTGAAACCAGAGTTAACTACCTCCATTTATTTACTGTTTATTACTAAGTTTATTTGGCTTGATTGTCAGAACAAGATTCTTTTTCCTCATAGAAACTGATAGGTGGTAGAAGTGTGAGTGAAACTATTCTTTGATACTGCTTCCTTGCTTTGCTGCTCAGGCTGTAAATCAGTGCAGAAAAAATACATCTGTTTAGACTAAGGCTGTGAAACTGTAAAATGCAATGAAATCCTGCAGCAATCCTCACGCAGACAAAACCAGAAGCTGACCTGATACACTGTGAGTGGCAGACTCAAGATAGCACTTCATGTCCTGCAGAGATCCCTTCTAACCAATATTTCTATTATTTCTGATGCTGTGGTGGAGAGCAAAGAGAGAAAATCACTTAGCACCTCATTGGAGTTTTTTTTACAGTCTGAACCCATTTTCCTCCATTGCTTGAAGTTGAGGTACCTCCTCCTGTGTGAACAGCAGGTTCTGTGGATTTGTAACTCTCAGGGGATGGACCCTTTGAACCCTCTCAGTATCCTTCCATACTGACAGAAGAATTCTTTGAGTTATTCAAGCAGCTTTGCATCTCTCTCTAAGTTTGTCTAAACCACACTTTCTTAGCTTGCATATATAATACCACGATCAGGTAACTTCAAATGCTTTGCTAAAGTCAAGATGAGTGGTACTCACTTTTTTCTCCCCTGTTCACAATGCTCACTAACCTGTTGCAGGAAAAAAACACAGATTGATCTCACAAGTTTGATCTTGACAGGTTTGAGTTGCTCATGGATTTGTTACTTTCCAGATGGCCATCATTAGCTTATTTAGTTATTTTCCAAGAACTGCAGTTAAACCAATAGGGCTAGAAATCCTCAAGGCACCCTTTCCCACTAAGCATGGGCACTATGCTCTTTTCCACTCTTCCAGTGTATTTTGACTGTGTATATTTTGGCTTCCAGTGTATTTTTCCAGTGATGAGTCCCATCAGTGACAAACCCATGCTGCTACTGGTAGAACTTGTTTTGCTTGTGGGAAGAGGTTTTCTAATACCAGTGGAGCTTTGCCAGGTGTGTCCATACTAGGACTACTGTGCCAGTACTACTATGGTATTTTTTTTATCCAATGGTATTTTTGTAGCCCTTTCCAGTCTTCTTGTATATTTTTCATTCTACAAGAGTCCCACCAGAGTTCTGAGATTGCTTTAGACAGTTGTTTTTGTATCCTAGAGCATATTTCATCAGGACCAGCCAATTTCAAAGCCTCTGAGCACTTTCTGCTCTCTTTTGCCCTTAAGGTAGCCAGAGACCTCTTCCCTTTTACACTACAGTTGAGTGGATGCTACTCATAACTAGTTCCTTTTTTAATGATAATTACAAATGTACTTAATGATGTCTTTTTGTATTACCCAGAAGTTTTTTTATACTTGCATCTCATTCTACCTTACCTGTTGACTCACCAAGCAGCAGTTGTCAATGTCCCCATCTTCTGTGTGCTTTCTTATTTGGAGATCAACAAGGAACACACGATTTATCAAGCTTGGCAGCTTGGTTTCCTACCTCTCCTCCTTCATCTCTGGAGTAGTTTGAGCCTGTTTCCCTAGTACTTTTTATCTGTGGAACAGACAGTTCAGTGGAGTTCCAATTTCTTCCAATTAGACTTGCTTTCTACAAGCTCTTCCCTGCCAGTTTCCTGAATATACTGAAATCTGACCTTAGTTCCATTGATTTGATTTTGGTAGGCTCCCTCCTTCCCTTTGTAGGGATTATGAACTGTGTGCATCAAATCTTGATTGGAACTTCTTAATAAAAAATATTTAAGGAGATGATAATTTGGAAAAGATGATCATGAAATGATAAATTGCTTTATTATAAATCCTTTCTACCATTACTGTCAAGCTGTGTGGTTTTCTGATATATACTTATCAAACCTCATCTGTCTAATCTACCTGGCTGATAACATGTAGTTTTGATACATGATAGTACTCATCTTTTCTCTGTACTTAATATTAGTCTCTGTTCTTTTGCTGGGTGAAAAACATGTTTATAAACATATATAAAAGAAGTTTTTCTTGTTAAGTATCACTGTCTAGATAAAAAGAAAACAAATGGAGAACTAATGGGAAAATCCCCATGGTGTTACAACAAGTGCCCTATTTAAAATGAAGCAAAAAGAAAAAAAATCAAGTGGGAGAGGTTTATCCACAGGAGAAAAACACTTTAGAAAGGGTAATAGAATTGTTTTTCTCGTGTCCCAGGTTAATTACACTCAGAAGCACTTGAAATGAAAAAAAAATAGTTTTTCAGCACACTCCAAGCATATTTTAAGGCAAGGAGGCTTTAGTCTGCACTGCAAATTAAGCACTCCCTTCCAGCCCTATAAAACTGCTCTTTGAAAGTACCTGGGCTGAAGCAGGCTGTGTGCTGACCTCAGCAGAGCACCCTTGCTGAGGCATGATGTTCATGAGGAACTTCCCTGGAAGTTTCCCCCACGGAGGAGAAATGGGTGAGGCTCCAACCCCCTCACAGCAGGGACCACTGCTCGAGTTCTCCAGGCAAGGTGGCCAGGGGTTTGTGGTGTCACAGGGTGTGATGCTGTGCTTTCATGGTGCTTTGGGTCTGTCCACACTACAAACACTAAAATGCAATTTAGGAGCTGCCAGTTCTGGAATATGTGGTGTTAAATTCACTAGGTTGTGTGTTTATGCCATAAAATTGTAGGTGTGGGTAAAGGTTTTCAACTGCATTGACACAAGCAGATGGCCATCTACTGAAAACCTTCTTAAAAGATGAAAACTTTTAAATATTCAGTGATTTAACTTAAAAAGAGAATGGTCATAAAACTCTATAACAATGCTAAAAGCAAACCTTTTTCTTAGTATTATTTTTACTATTTTTGAGGCCTTACTGTTGTAATTGCATTGACTTCGTTTTAGTGAGAATCACTGAAAGATGAAAGCATTTTGTCAAGTTTTGCTTTGATATCTCATCAAAGTTTTCAAGAGGGCAGGTAATGCAGCAGGCAGGATGCTGGGAGGACGTGGAAGAAGGGTCTGCAGGCTGGGTGGAGTTTTTGTAGGTAACTGTTTTGAGTCAGCCCAATAGTTCCACTGTGTTGCCTGTGCCATGTAATGAAGTGAATCACAGTCGTACTCTGCAGTGTAAATAAGCTTAGATGACATTACAGTTGCATCTGGACTTATTTTAACCTGCTGTAGCCTTTGTAGAAATTAAGGGATACAGAAAAGAAGAGTTAGATATCTCCAGTTAAAAAAAAAAATCCAAAACCCAAACCAGCCATAACCTTCTAGGCTGCTTCTGAACTCACAGGCTCTACCTGAATTGTTTTTCTTTGTAGCTTATTAGATCTCTGTGAACACCAATGAAATAGATGTGTTTCACAGTGCTATTTATCATAATCAAACTCCTGGGATTTAACAAGAATAAAACTGACCAATAGCAAAATCAGTGCTGCTTTACTGATACAATAGCAACAGCTTGAAAAAGGAGTCACTGTTTAATTAAATTTCTTCCATTTTATGAATTTTTGTTGTCCTGAACAAACTACTAGGCCTGAAAATGAGTGGAAAAGTGTGGTTTATTATTTCCTTTTCTCAGTATCAAGCCACTGCCACATCAGCTGGTATAAAGTTAATCTTTGTTATGTGCTTATTGCTGTTTCCTTGGAACACAAGGACATGAAGCTTCATACATCTAGATCCCTTATAGCATAATGCTTCATAATGGCCATAACTGAAATGAGTGCCTGTGATTTCTCAGAAAGATTCTCCATTATGATAAAGCATACACGTTTTCTATCTCCCTAATGTCTCCTCTGGACAGTGTTATTATACAAATTGGGAGGAAAAATTGTAATAGTTTATTTTGATCTATCTCATTTCCCTATTAGGGTTATAAGCAGTGCTTTAGAATTGCTTGTGCCTGTCTCTAAAGTTCATGGTTGATGTTATTCACTAATTATGATACAACAGTGCTGGGAGATCCCACTCATGGTCTGCATCCTGTTGGACTAAAAGCTGTATGCAAGCATGATAATCACTCATTGAAACCTAGTATTTTAAACCAACAAGTCCCAATGTGCTCTATAAAAGATGTAAATACCATTATTCCCATTTTGCAGATCTATCATTATTTCCTAGCTTTCTGTTTTTATGTATTTAGTATAATTTGAAGGAAGTTTATCATTCATTATATGATTTTCAAAAAGGCAAAATTTACAGCACATGGCATGCAGTTGTCTTCCACATAACTCATCATGGGTTCAAACATTTCTATCCAATATAAGAATTTGGAGTAGCTACTCACAGATTGTCACCCACAGTCCAGTCTGCTGCTGGTTTCTTGTTTGCTCCAAGACCCAGTATGCACCTGCAACTACCTTTCTCCTTCTTGAGATTTATTTTATACTCACACCCATGTGTTGACACTTACTTACCCTTTTCATTCAAATTGTGTTGCCTACACCCAGCACAAAAGTTACTGGAGAACTTGCAAAGTTGCAGGGGCAGAGGGAGTGCTGAGCAGCACCTGTTGGAGCACACCCAATCCCTAGGCCACTGAGCTGCTACAAACCTTCATCTAGGTTTTCAACAATCTGTTGACTGAGTAAGCTTTGGTAGACTAATGTTATTTTTTTCTTTTGCATCATGAAACGTTTGAGTTTAAGTTGACTCCCCCATGTTTCTCTAGGTTTAGCATTGTCTCATATTAGGAAAAATTTCTTCCTCACAAGGGCTGTCCAGGGCTGTGCCAGGCTGCCCAGGGCAGTGGTGGAGTCCCCACCCCTGGAGGGGTTTCCAAGCAGTGGAGATGTGGTGTGAGGGACACGGGGCAGTGGGGACCTGGCAGTGCTGGGGAACGGTTGGACTCCATGATCTTAAAGTTCTCTTCCAACCAAAACAATTCTATGATTTTTCTAGCATTGGCCAAGCAAGAGGAACCAGTATAATCTTCTAGTGGTGGTGGCTCACTGTCATCAAGTGAGAGATCTCAGTGATGTTAGTCACCTTGAAGTTGCCTGTTCTGCAATGCTGTAAACCCACTGAATTATCATAGAATCATAGACTGGTTTGGCTTGGAAGAGACCTTCAAAGGTCATCTAGTCCAACCCCCTGCAGGGAGCAGGGACATCTGCAAGGATCTAGCGCTCTCTTTGGGAGTTGATTATTACCCACACTGTAATTCCCCTGATTCCTTCCAGTGAAAATGTCTGTGTGTATCTGAAAGTGCTTCCTGTGCTTTCTGGTACCTTGCCTGTGTATGAATTTCATGTATTTAAAGAGTGTTCTGTCAAGAAATATGGTGTTTACACTATACTCATTAATACTGAGCAAATTTCTTATGATTCCTTTATTAACGAGTACATTGATTCTTGCATAGCAGAAGTCACAAGACATCAATGGGATTTAATTAACTTTATTTTAAATTACTAAAGCAATGACAGTAGACAGTACTGTAGCATATTCATAAGTAGCAAAAGCAGTGCTGGTACTGGTGCATTATTAAATCTGAATGAAACTATTCATAGCAGAAATTTTACTTATTATTGGGAGAGCAGAAAAATGTGTCTGCAAATCTGATACCTCTTTGTTAAAGGAAGTTTCTGTCTCCTCCTAGATGTGTAGCCAGAAGATGGTGAAAGGTCATTCAGCTAGCAGCCCTTGGGGTTTGTCTGCCTCTCACTACATGGATTGTCCCTTACCCCTGTTAGAAGATGAGGTAACAAAAGGTGAGTCTCAGAAGATCCCCCTGGGTACCATTGCCACCAGATGGACTCTACATAAGCAGTGTTGTTTGCTGTTTGCAGCAGGTATCTGGTAATCAAATCTTCTGGCACCCAAAAGTTGTAAGCATTGTGATCTCAAACGTTGCAAAGGGCAGAGATCAACTTCAGACTACTCAGGACATAGCATGTGTTATGTCAAACACCATCCTCCCTGGGGCAGTTCTCTTGTAATGCCCAGAGCTGAGTTGCTGCTGGGAAGAAGAATTGTGTGTGATGGAGGGTTCTTGTGTGGCTAAACAGCATGGGCCAAGTCAGTGGTCATGATTAACATCTGGTTATTAATCATTCACTCTTAGACCTGCACTTGGACTATTTTAGCAGTCAGTCCATTTTTGTGATTCCACGATTACATTGTGGTTTACAAAAGTAATTCTCATCCATTCCACATAATAAATTGCCATTGCACAAGGATATAATTCCTTCTTGAAATCAGCACCACTGCAGTATCCTGCATGTGTTTGTTAATTTGAATAGGCATTTGAATAGAATACCCTCACTGAAGGTAGAATATTAAATCTTGTGAGGTATGAATCTTTCAATAAAAGAAAACTGCTGCTTTTCTAGTTTTGATTTGGAATTGGAAGAAACTTAGGTCTGCCTTTGTTTAATTCTTTCTTCATTGCTACTAATTATTTTTTCTTTCATAGCTGGAGTATATTGAATTGTTCAGTAAAATCATCTTCTTGCAGGTATTGTGAGCTTGACTGAACAAAAGCTTATCCCTCCAGCAGCAAAGATAACTCTCCAGACTCCTCCTCTTGTATCCAAAGCAGCACCTTTCCATGAATTTCAAAGGCAGCACAAGAAATCACCTGTAGGTGAGTACAAAGGCTTGATAACAACCATCAGTTGCTTCTCCACTTCAGTTTCAGGCCCTTGTTTCATCTTGTGAGGAAACAGCTGTCTAATGAGCACTCAGATTCTTAAGAATACCAAGTGCATAAAGATGTAGGTGAGCATCCTGTGACTTGCAACTGAATAGGAAACATATTTTTACTCCCTGTGAGGATTTGATAATTTCTGAAATGTTGGTAGGTTCCTACCTGTATGTTTCACATTCTAAGCACCTGAAGCTGAAGATCTGACTGTTGGTGTTATGTAAAGCCAATGTTACTCTAAGTCATGACTTGCACAACTTAAAACAGCTGATCAAGCATCAGTTTTTGCCAGTGGGATTAAATGAATGGCTCCTAATAAGCAAATATACTCTGGGCAATGGGATTCTGATCTATCCCAACATGTACTCAAAACCTGTTTCTACAGCTGCTTGTGGCATGTGACATCAGTGTGGAAAGGAACACAAGCAAAATGAGTGGTGGGCTCAGTAGCAGTCCCATAACTTTGAAAAGTCCTCCAAATGAAAGGGGCTGGTTGAAAACTAAGATTACATATGCAATATCCTGAACTAAAGTGCTAATATTTTGATGTTGTTATCCTGAGTATACTATTGGTTTAAGATAATCTTAAAACGTTATAGATAAAAACTGAAAATTGCAATCTGCTTGGATGTGAGGGCAAACTAGAGTGTGCCAGTAACTCTTGGTAGGTGGCACAGTATCAGTTTAATTCTGTTGTTGCACTTCTAACAATGAAACCTGCAATCAATCTTTTTCTTTGGTCCAGGAGAGATCAGTAGTATTGTGGGCCCTGAGAATACAAATGCTGTCACCTTCCCAACCTCAAAGGAAGCAATTTATATCACACATTCCTCTAGCAAAGGTAACACTGCACCACTTCCATCCAGCAGCTCCATGGTTTCAGCAAGGAAATCAAAGCCAGCGTGGTCATGTCCAGATCAACAGTTGGAATCTGAGCTGCAGATTCCCTCCCAGACACAGGTATTCAGACAGTGAGGAGAATAAAGTTTTTAGCCATATTTTAAATACCATCCTCACGAGGATGGGGCATGTGTGACTGTAAAATCCCTGAATTGGTAGAGGGGGCTTGGAACCGAATCCAGTAAATGGTAAATATTGAAGTAAACCAGGAGATAGTTCATATATTGCCAGTTCCTGTTTTCTCAAGGCTTCGACCTAAATTCGTTTTCTTCACAGAATCTTGGAAAATAAGTCTAGAAAGGATGTTACGAGGTTATCTAGACCTCCAGGCAGAATTACCTGTACCTGTGATATTGCAGACAGATGTTTTTCTAACCTGTTCTGAAAACTTTGGGTGATAGCAACTCCACAGTCTCCCTCGGCCATCTGTTCCAGTGCTTAACTAACTATCTTTACTGTTATAAAAGAGTTTTTTAATGTCTCATCTAAATCTGCCTCGCTGCAGTTAAGCAAATGTAGTGTTTCCCTTTATATTTACAGAAGACTATAGGGGAGTTTGACCTTGACTGCTTAATGCTTGCTGATTGTTCTTGATCCCCGTGCAAAAGGAACAGTTCTTTCTTTTTATGGCTAATTATCGTGTTCTGTAGCAACCTGTCTGGAGTTTTGCTTGATCTTGCCAGACTTCCTGACTTTTGTGCCATTGAGGAAGTCTTAAAATCAAAGAGGAGACCTGAAAATCAAAAAAAACTCATCAAGCTCCATTTCTCAGATTTGCTTTATTAATGTAAATAAAAACAATGACCTAAAAATGGATTGAAAATAGTGCACTTAGATTGAAAATCAAAGCTAATGTGTAGCTGGCTAAAATTGCCAGTAAATATGGGGTTCTGTTAAGAGGCAGGAACATTTCTATTCCAGATTTTTCCAAGTTTGCATTTAGGTGGCAGGATACTGCCCATTCTGGGGTAGACAGAGGCAGTGTCAGTGGAAGATTGCTATTGCAGCTACTTCCTGATTGGAGTCAGTCAGTCTCAATTTTTAGATTGGGTAAACCAAGCAGAGTTCCTCTGTGCAGTGAATATATTTCTGTAAAAATGCTCCTAGTCTTGCATGACCTCTGAGGTCTTTGTGTGGCAATGGTTTTTGGTAAAGCTGGGCTAGACTTTGTGGTTATGATGTATAAATCAGAATGAGTGTCTTTCAGAAGCGCGAATGCCCACAGTTAAGGCAGATAGAGTACCACAGTGGTGCCTCTTGACCACTCGTTTATGATTAATGGCAATTAATCCATGGCTGTTCGCTCCCCACAGCCCCTGCAAACGCCTCCACGTCAGGCCTTGCATGAGCTGTGCTTTGATGGCGACATTGCTGTTTACCATGGCACGATAGACTGGAAAGCTCCAGGATTTCTGGCGTTCAAGCAACATTATTGTGTCTCTTGGGGGAGCATTGCCTGGTTTTTGGAACACACAGAAAAGCTTCTGAAGGACTACGCTGTACCCTTGGCTACCATAAACTGCCAAAAGCTGGCGGAAGTCGCATCAGACTTGAAGCTCACCAAGGATCCCACCAAAAGCGACATTCTGGCAGTGATAAAGAATCACTCGAGTGTGGAAAAGCTCTTGGATGGACCAGGCCAAAGGGACAAAGGCCAGGGGGGTACCGAGGCGGCCGCCGCGAAGATCCAGGCGAGGTGGCGAAGCCGTCGGGCCGGCAGGGCCCGTGCCAGGCAGCAGCAGTGGGCCTCAGGTGTGCTCGCCCGCTCCTGGCTCCTGCACGCCCGCATGGCACGTGTCAGAAACACCCTGGAGGCAGCACGGCGGAGACACCTGGAGAATTTCTACAGCAGGGCCAAGGTGTGCAGTGCTACCAGCTGTTACGGCAGCGCTTCTTCTCTAAACATCTCTTGCTTCAGTGATCGCAATAAGCTGTTTCCATTTTTTTTCCCCCCTTTAACCATACACTTGTCCGAGGATCATATTTCATCCTTCATCAGCCATTCAGCCTTTGTGGCTGCAAAACCTGTCGCTGTGTTTCTATTGAAAATGTCCCTTTGCTTTAACTTCAGTACTTCTGTCAGAAAATCAATGTTTTAACTGCATTACCTTAGTGCCTTATATATACCTTGTGGCACTTCATTTGCTGGAAAAAAAAAATCCCTCTCTTGTCTACATTGCTGTCACCACTTTGTCAGAAAGTATTTAAGTTTGCAGACAGCCTCTTAATTAGTGCTCACAATTTCATTTATGTTTGCTTTCCTTTTTTTTTTCATTCATATTCTGTTAATTAAGTGAGCAGCCTCCAATCTTCCCCTGCCAGTAGCTTCATGTAGCCACCTAATTAAATTAATTGGGGAAGATGTTTTAAGTATGTAATTAAATCAATTAATATAATTTATGCCTGGCTTAACTGTACAGTGGAAAACCAGCTGAAGTTTGACTAGATGAATCCACTACAGCTTCCTGTCACTGATCAATGCTCTCCTTGATTTTTAGCATCTGGCAGCCAACTGGAATCGCATCAGGACCTCCAGGAGGACTATTATCCATATCCCATCATTAGGTATAACACTTTTGCCTGCAAATCTATCAGCAACCTCTATTACCCACCACATTATGACTCCTTGATTGAGTTCAAGGAAGGCCCCTTGTTTTATTCAAATTGGTCTCGGCAGGAAAATGTTCTCGACATGATGAGAGTAATAACACAGGGCCTCCGCTCGAAACGGCGTTTAATTTGGGGATTAAGCAAATAAAGTCATTATGTGGGGGCCGCTGTTCAGTGGAGAGGTGATTTGCTGTAATTTGCTTTCATCTGTATGAAATGAACTAAAAAGTTGCATTTTTTCCCCCTGAAATAACCGATAATGTTTTCAGTCTTCTTTAATGATAGGCAAACACGGGCCTGCGTGTGTTGTTGCTGTTCCAGCCATAAGCCAGGATATTGCTTGTACACTGTTTTTAATCAAATGTGCAGTCAAAATGATAAGCTACATTCTCTGAAATTATTTAGTTCTAATTACGAGCAGATGGGATGCTTTATTTGCACCTAGGGCGCCTGAGCAAAAGGAAATGCTGTGTGAACAAGAATAATTAAGAAGTTGAATAGTGTTTTTTGCGCTTAAATAATCTGCAGTTTCATGTTAATTAGCACTAATGTAATTATTTAATTACATTTATGAATTGGGGAGCTTAAAAAAGCGGTTTTCTACGATGTGATGGCAAAGTGTAAGGTGTTCAGAAATCACAGGGTAGGAGTCCCTGGGAATTTGGAAAAGGCACCAATAAGCTCTTAAAACATGAAATCCTGTCAAAACGCTTGTACCTTGATTTATAATTTGTACTTACACAGCAAATTAATTGACCTGAGAGATTCAGGATTTCGTAACATCAGTTGGTTAAGACCTGAATTAATGAAGACTGTAAATAAGTTTTAAGCTCTCTGTTTTGGAGCCCAGTTAGCCTTTTATTTCACCATTATGCTGACTGTTTGACATAAATATACATTTGATGAAGAACAGTTTTTAATTACACCTCTGTCTTCATGTCACATGTGAATATGTAAAGTTAAATCATGTGACAGAATCCTATTTTTAAGCAGGATCGTTTAAAAATAATCGATAACGTTCTGGTGTCCTAAACTGGGTAAAAATGTGAAGGAGAGCATTTATCCAGGAAAAAAATTATTAATTAGGTGTGTGAATTCAAAAGTCAGCAGAGTTGTCATACAACAGATGCTTTCAAAGTTGTATTAAAAAAAAACCCTAAGCAGTATAATCAAAACAGGCCAGCTTAAAAAAAAAAATTAATCATTATGCCCTTGCTCCTCTGATGGATTTGTAACATGTGGTGGAATTTATAGAAGTCCTAAAATTATTTCAACCTCTTAAGTAAATTCTGATACTCTAGGGAAATTCTAGTTCATTTAGCACTTCACCTGGAGCCCAGGCCCTGATTCTGTAACGTGCTGTTGTACAATATTCTGCTGTAAATACAGGAATTTGTATAGGAAGAGGTGGCTGCAGTATTCAAGTGGAAATATTCTCTTAATGAGGAAGAAAGTAAGTAGAGAAGAGACTTTGAGTGCAGATGTTTTCGTGGAAAATTAAGAAACCTATTTAAGTAGGGCATGGAGAATATTACGCCCTCCAAAAAAGGGATTGGAAAGTGCTCTCTGAAAATGTTACTCATGCTTGGTTTTATTAAACGCATCGAGTATATTGAGAGCTCTTGTAGAGTTCTGTAGGGTTGTTACAGGAATTAAATCATGATAAGCATTTAGGTTACTGAATTGTGATATAAATACGTGGGGTTTTTTTATCTTTTGAAATGTTAAGATTGAACTGGTTTTGAGAAACAGCATAAAATGGATAAGAAACAGACCAAATTTTATATAAATTTAAGAACAGCTTATATTTGAAAAGATGAAAACAAAGTCTGGGAACTAAAAACCTTTCAAGTGTGAGAATAGAAATAATTTTCAATGTTTTATTATTCCACTCCTACACATTTGTCTTTTTTTTTAATATCTAAAATTTTGAGGCCATTACTGGAACATTTTCAACTAGCACCATTGTGTAGTTTGTTCTCAGGCATTTCCTATTGATGCTTTTGATCTGTCATGTGTTGTCTTTGTTTTGAAAAATAACTGCTAAATTCCCTGAAATATTTTGCCTTTTCTTTAGCCTGGTAGAATGTTACAATTAGGAAGCCTGTTTGAATGGAATTCTAGGAAGCTGGACAATTTAAACAAGTAACTTTTGTTTCAGTCTAGGAGAAACAGATATGCAGAATGACAGCTAGGATCATTATTTTTTTAAGGCCTGAATCTGGGTAATCATAAAAAAAGTCTCAATTACAAGAAATGAGACAAAACAGAAAAATAACCAAGGCAGGGAAGTTTGATGAGACACTCGTAGTGATTTCTCCATTCAATTTGCTCAATCAAAAATAGAGCCTGAAATTCTCTACTCACATTTCCTTGATTTAGCATTTAGGGCAAATCAGATTGTGATTTTATTTTTTTTTTCTTCCCATGCAAGTGGAATTCCAATAATTGGAGGCAGAGGCATAACTATGAATTTCTCCCAGTGTTCATTTTCACAACAGTTTCAGATTCATGTCAAGTTTCTGGAAATAATCCAGGAAACGGGATAGTGAAAGGCTTAAATTATAACTGCTGTGAGGAACAAATGTTTCCATTTATTTCACCACAACAAAACCTTTGGATTTCTAGTATAGCTAAAAAAAAAAAAGGAAGCAGACTTCATTGTTTCAAGATTGTTTAGCATTTTTCTCAGCTTGTGTAAGGAAAAATGAATTTTGAGCTTCCTAATCGGATTTACTCCCACGCTCTAATGGATGAATTCACTTCTGCAATATTTGGGATTCAAATACTGTTTCTTTTTTCATTCAACTACTTTTAAATGGTTGATCAGTCTTTCTACCCAAATAGTTACATTTACAATAAATAAAATTTGTCACCTTATATAACCTACTGAATATTTATCAAGGCTTCCTCTTGTCTGATACATGAATCCTTTTGAAAAGCAGTTTCAGCTGAACAGTAGGTGTGCCAAATACAGTGAGAAAAGTTAAGTATTATTTATTAGACCTGTCCCAGGCTCTGGGAAGCACAAGGTGGCTGAATCCTGGATAGGTTGTCTTTCTCCTTCCCCTTCAGACATCACCCCATGGTTCCTTAAACTGTCACGTGGTGTCCCCTTCTCTCTCTGTACTGCTACTGCTTCTTCACAGGTGAGTTTGAAAAGTGCTGTGGATTCTTTGCTGAAAGAAGACACTTTGAGATGAGCAAAATTTATTAAGAAAATGGCAGTTAAAGGGCATTGGGTCATGGATGAGGTTGAGCAGGAAGATGATGTTGTCAAAACAAAAAGTGTTTGAGACACTGTTTGGAGTATAACTTACCCAGATTGCAGGAACAGATCAACCAAAGGAGGGGTTCTTTGAATCTGGATAGGAACTTTGGCTTCTGGGAAATGCAGATTTCTCCAAAATGTTTCATGCATTTCAGACCAAATGCTGCGTTGCAAAATGTCAGGGATACATAAAGCAGCTGTACATAGAAATCCAGAAGTGATGGCACAGGTTATAGTTGTACTGGAATATGGAGACCAAAACCATGGTGCACACAATTCATTTGGGTCAAACTGTGTTTAAACTGCAAGGAAAGGAATATTAAGCCTCTGCCTTTAATAAGCACTGTCAGGTGACCAGCCATGGAAGTAGAGAGTGTTCAAAATGTACCAGGGGTGAGGATTAAAGTGCTTCATGATGTCCCCTGGAAGGTGAAGGACTCACAAGGAGTGACTGTTCCTCTCATTCCATCTAATGGGGTCATGTCAATGGAAGCTAATATATTATGAATTAATTACTCCACTTTATTATTCCTTTCAAATAATTATTGATTTTTCCAAGTGATACTTGCCTGTCATTTTTCTGCCCAGATTTAGTTAGAATCATAGAGTCGTTCTGGTCAGAAGAGACCTTTGAGATCATCAAGTCCAACTGTTAACCCAGCACTGCCAGACCACCAATAGTTCTCAGATGTGTTTTCAAGAGGACAGCTGAGTGTAGAGGAATCAGCTGCTCTCTGTTTAAAATTTAAATGTTTTAAATTGTTAGGCAGCGTTGTTAGCAGCTTAAAATTGGTCCCACCTGAGAGAACAAAAGGAAGCTTTGAGACTAAAGTTTAAGTAATCAGAACAAGCTTTTTCAAATTACTGTCATTTAATATTAGAGTGGCAAAAAATTGATGTCTTTTACAGTGCTGGAGTTCTGCAGGTGCCTGGTACCATTGTGCTAACTACAGTATTTAAGTTTTGCAAGGAATTACTAAAAATGAAACTGGTGATTTCTGTTTCTCTCTATCTTATCATGTTTTGCTCTCTGGTGTGCAAAGTGTCATTGCCACAGCACCTTTGAATGCTGATTACTTAGTTGTAATTTGCCTGCAAGATTCACTATTATTAGCTGCCAAAATGAAAGCACTGAATTAAGGAGCAGATTTTAGTTCAAAAGTTTCACGTTTGGTCATGTGCAGATATATGGAAATTTTGTAAGGATCTTGTTGCTGGATCAGTCAATTTTATGCCAAACACTGAATATTAAGCTCAACTTCCTTATAATTTGCTCACAGCTATTGCAACTAGCGGCCCACGTTGTGTTTGTAGGTGCACACTGATTAATTTAGAGTTAGCTGAATTTCAAAATTAGAGGATTAGAGTTTATACTTCCTGTGGTCATGTCATTTACTGCAGTCTTTGTGAACCCGGGTACACCATCAGTTGGAAGTCTGACCTCCAAAGAGATAATCCAAGCTCAGACAGGCTGGTGCTCGTTCATCCTCTGCAGCCAAGTGATCAGGTATCACTGAGACATCTCCTGAATGAATTGGGTTTGTTGCCTTTTCTCTGGGTGAAGGACAAAAGGTACCCAGATTCTTGCTTAATGATGGTATCAACATTTATTTATTTTTTTTAAATCCAGCAACATAGAAGACTGAAAATCCTGAGTCAGTGTGTTTGAATTATAGAGCTCTATAGGTCTGTAACGTTTAGAGTTGTATTTAAAGCCTCACAACATAAAAACATGATGTTCCATCAGTTCACTAATACAAGTAAAATCATAAAGATGATGCAATTAGTGCTATACAGTGTTTGAGAGTTGAAATGCTTTTATTACAGCTTTCTTTTTTTATTTTTAAATCCAGAAGTCTGATTTCTTTCAAATATGCCCTGGGGGTTTTCTGAATCCACTGGGGGCGGGGGGGTTTTACTTGTTTTCCAGGATATTCCCAGTGCATCCGTGAGCATATTCCTGATCTTGCTCTCCAGCAGAACATGCAGCTGGGAAGGCTGTGTGACATACTGGGTACGTTCAGAGCTGTTGGCTCCCTGTTTTTTTGGCCCTTATTTCCCCACAGTTGTGAGTAAGAAACTGACCGATGAGGATTTTCTTTTTGTGTGAATGTTAAATGTAGAGAACATTTCAGCTCAGAAGCAATTTACCTGCTGTGGCATTTGAATCTGCCCATGTTATTTGTAAGAAAAGGATGCGGCTTCCTTCTGACTCCATGGTAAGGTAGAGCAGCCTCACCCTGTGCCATGCTGAGCACCACCAACCATCAGAAGTCTGGAGCGTTCTACAAAATTAGGTAGCTAATTCTGCTAGCATCCACTCAGGCTTAAGTGGAGAGAAAGATGTGCAGGAAAGGAGCAAGCCCTTATTTAAACCAGTTGGGTTTTTTAAAAGTAGCAAATGAGGGAAAAGACATCTATTTAAAAGTTTTTCAGTGAAGAATATTATTTGTCGGTGACCAGCTTCACTGGCTCCCTGGAATGACATACTTTACATGATTCATGTATATTTCAGGATCATTATTATTTTATAAATGCCATTTAGTAACTTTGTAACAAAAATATATTAGATTCAGAAATTTACAGTTGCCTAAAATAATAATGTAATTGCCTTTATATATTATCTAGGCACTAATATTGTTTTTTTCACAGTACAGTTTTATATTTTTCTCTTTTGAACATAGATTTTTTTTGTGTGTGTCTAAAATGATAGTTAGAAACTTAAAGGGACAAAGCCACCACATTAAACAGCCATTTTTTCTCCCTTTAAAATTGGTTCTGCTGTAAAATGTAAAATAGACCATAATTAAGATGGAAAGTAGTTAAATATTAACTAAAATATTAACTAGTTCAGATGCTTTACCTATGCCTGGCAGAAGAACATGGATATTTACCATATTGATTTTCTTTTTCTTTAGAATACCAGAGGATTTCCTTGCTGCTTGTGAGCTCCTATGAATTAATCTGTCTCTGGAGCCCCTGCTGTGTCCAAAGGAGACTTTTATATCTCTTTAGAGGGGAGTGTTAAGAGTAGTAAAATGTGTTGCAGCATTTTATTCAACAAATTCACTTGAGCCTTTCAATTTTTGTCAGTTCAGTCCATTCAGCATTACAGCCAACAGTGGCAAATAATCTTTTTGTACCTTAGCTGGTAAATTTTCAGACTCATTTTGCAAGTCAGAGTAAATGCCTTAAAGCACCAGTGTTGACTAATGGTTCTAGGGAACTGTGCTTTTAATTGTTTTATAAAGTTACATGGTAATGAACTATTATATAAAGGCTCTGTCAGGGCTTTGGATACAGGGCTGGTTGTCAGATGCTGTGCTACTTGAATGCTTCAGTTGAAATCCTGGCCTTATATTTTTAACATGAGCCGTTTGCCTGCAACGACAAAGTGGAATGAAGAGAGATCCTACTCTTTTATAACATTAGGCTCAGGGTTTCCTTAGCCCTGTATTTGCTTTGCCTCTGATTCATTCACCTCTAGTAGCAGTTGTCCCTGGCACTTCCCAGGCCCTTGTTCCTGTGCCCAGTAAAGACAATGAAAGACTTCCTACAGATTTCAGCAGGAGTTGGATCAAAATGTAGGAGTGCTTTTTGGCAGCCTGCTCTCTTGATGTTTCAAGGCCCATTAATTCATTAGCTCATCTAAAACATTAATATTTTAGAAGAACAGAGTAGTTAAAATTTTCCCAAAACTGTAACTAAGAAAGCCCTTCACTTTCTCACCTCCTAAGTGTTTGTGTATCCACTGTGGGTCAGCCCAAGTTGTTTTACATGCAGAAAAACAGCTTTTCACACTGTGGTATTTAACTAGCTGATCTGCACTCTCCCATGCTCAGCAAGAGTTATTAATGGTATCCTACTGTGAGCTTTTGTGTGGACAGGACAAGCAGAGGAACGGGCCATGCAAAATCCAGGCAGCATATGAAATTGCAATTTCATCAGCTTTCTAAACTTAATAGCTCAGTTTTATAATTTACTGAAGTTAATGGGATATGTTTTTAAAGCAGTGTGCAATTCCCACTGATGTTAATGTGAGCTGCACGTATAAATCCCCCTGCAATGCCTTCAAAATTCTGCCCCCAATATGTTCTGCAGATTGAATTCTGAAAACTAGCTGTTTCTTTGGGTTGCTGACCTGTCTTCAGAGAAATGCTGAAGCACAGAAAAAGCAGTTAAAGCACTCAGATTTGGGAATTACAGATCTCATTTTTGTTTCCTGTGCTCTGTTAGGGAAGCTGTTTATTAGCAAACGACCAGGAATTACCAGATTGCTGTTCTGAATGGAGTCTACCTTTCTTCCAGTAATGAACATTGTGCCCCTTTGTTTTAGATGCCAACGTGGACGTCATCTACATCTGCCCCCTTCATCTGAGTGAGGAGTTACTGCAGTATTACAATAAACTCCTGGGTCTGCAGGCAGCTGTTAGATCTGGGAACCCTGAGGACATGGGTGACCTGCAGGACAGGTTCAAAATTCTCACCCCTGAAGCTATAAACAGCTTCCCTGTGAGTTTGTCTTCTAATTACTACAGCTTGAGGGATGCAGTAAAATTAAATTGGAAATTTTATAACTTGTAATGCTCTGGTACACATCAGTGAAATATTATAGTGAGTTTAAGGGCTTTACTGATTAGACTACTAGTTAGAGCATTGGAAATAAATATCCTGGTTTAGCTTTATAGACTTAGTTGAGGATAGTCCTATATTGGCTATTTGTAGACCACTGTCCCTTCTTAATATATGCTGGGGACTGGGAACTTGATAGATTTATATCTCTAAGCAAATCGTAGCAATAAACCATTCTTATTACTCAAATTTTATCTCTGAGTAGCCCAACATTCAATCATTGATGGTTTTATAGCATTTCTTGCAATTAAATCCCATGCAGAACTTAAAGAACAGAACTTAAATTGGGATAAATAATACAGAAATATTAGTTCCAAACCCGTCAAGTCCATTTTAAATCTGTGTGCTAAAACATGATATAAAAAGAGACTTTAATTAGTGTACTCTATGTACAGTGATTCTGGAAATACTGAGTAAAGATATTTCATAAATGTGTAGGTTTTCAAATGTGGTTTTATAGTAGGGTAGTGCTCAGCAAAACACCTGCTTGTATGTGTGAATCCTCTGCTGTTGAAATAGTCTGAAAACACCTATGTAAGAAAAGCTCCTTTGCTGTATAAGGAGGGACCCCTGAGTCAGCTATCTGATAGTTTTGCCCTAGTTAAAATGAATTCTATTCTGTTTTCTCTAAGTTGGAGAAAAAAGCATCAAGATGAGTGTTGTGGTTTTTAGGGGATGGCTTTTCTTTAGCATTGTCCTTTTATCTGCATACTGGAATCACAGCTGGGCCTTCAGCTTGCAGAGTAAAATTAAAGATGGTAAATCTTTGATAAATAGAAGTAATGGGGTTTTATTTCCATTTAAGTTGCACTTTGGCAGTTGTAGCTGTTTTTTTCTCTGGATACTGGGTTACTTTTCCACTGCTAACTACCAAACACTGGAAGCTTTAAGAAGTTTTGGAATGCTGAGAAGTGTATTGGTGCTGTAAGAATGAGCAGTCACAGGCAGTTTTGATGTGACAGGTTGAGGTGTACCCTTGGTGGTGCAGCTGGTTTTATGCAAAATCCTCAAACCACCTTATTTTCTCTGAGGATGTATTCTTTCCCATCTATTAACCAAGATAGCCAAGTAATGGAACTTTTTTGTGGAGAACCACCTGGATTCATAGCTCATCCTAATCATCCACTGACATCAGTGACCGTGGATTTTGTCTGTGTGAGGGTTAGAGCTTTACAGGTTCTTTTTAAGGATCTTTCTTCTGAGCTATTTCATAAAAAGCTTTTGTTGTATCTAAATTTATTCCTAATATATGAAAACGCGGCTTGAAGGCCACCTTAGCAGGCTCCTTTGAGCCATTCTAGAAGCACCAATGAACTGGATGGAAGGAAAACCAGTGGAAGAGACACCAAGACACAGGTAGCCCTGTGCTCCTTGGCATCTGCAGAGGGGAGGCAGAGAGACTGGGAGAAAAGGGTGTCCATAAACCATTCTCCTTAGATGTTTGCTCTTCGAATGACCTCTTGTGACTCAGTCCATGTGGGTGCAACGTGAAACCCTTCCAACAAAAGGTTATGCTGCCCTGGTTCTCTGCCAGCAGCATATCAGAACACCTTGGTGGTATCCCTGCTCCTCATGGTGAGGCTGATGCCAACATCACCTTCTCTGATCTTGAGAAGCTTAAAAAGGAAAACTAAAAAAAATTAACAGGCTTGAGAGCCAGGAATGAGCCCTTTGGTTAAACTCCTCACCATTATTCAGTGCAGTTGTGCTGGAATTCTGAGGATTGCTCAGTTCTGTGTTTACCTGCTTTCACTCACAGCACTATATA